TGTTAGTTTATAATTGAGTTTAGTTGTATTTTCTTAAAACTATACACGTGTGTGAGTATATAAAGTGAAAGGGTGTGTTTACTAGTCGTGACTTGTCAGAGAAGAAAGGGTAGTTATTTAGTTTAAGAGTTGCAAGGGAGAAAAGACACAACTCTCTCAGAGAAGATAGCTTTCGCTATTTGTTTTACAATATTGTATTTACGAGTTACAGAGAGAAGGAAATTAGAGACTTCATCGTCCTATTCATCGACTTCTGGTTTCATTACGCAAGCAGATTGATTCTCTCCTTACAAATCAAACTTCTTCTTTCCGAACACAAAATCAACATGCTACAATTATGGTTCTCCATCAACAACTAGATTGCAAATCTGGTCACACTCAAACCTCGCTCCTTCCCATCTGGTTCGATATGAAGAATAAATCCTCAACATACCACAAACTCATTAGATTGGGCAAATCTAATGAGTTTAAAAGAGTAACGACCAAACCTCATACATAAGAGATCAGAGAGAAAAATTAAGTCAATCATTTTAACAAGTCGACAGAATAAAAAAATCAACAAACAAATTATTAAATCAGTGGTTTAAATAAGTCGACCAAATAAAAATTAACAATAAAAAATGACTATTTAAAATATGTCAACGAAACTGAAAATTAAGTCGATAAACATTAAAAAAAATTGACTATCTAATAAGTCGATAAAAATATATTAAATAAAGGAACATAATTTTTTTGAAGGATTTAAATAAATCAACCAAGCAAGTCGACAATGTAAAATAAGACTACTTAAAAAATATATATATATAAATTTAGCTTTTAAATAATTATTTATATAAACCAAACATTTTTAAAAATAAAAATTAATTACAAAATAAATTTCAAATTTAAGTTGAATATTTTCATGTATTTTAAATTTCTATAATAATTAGCTAAATATGTATATAGGTATTTATGCATTTTTGTACAACAAAAAATATAGTTTTTCAATTTCTATAAGATTAACTATACTTTCAACCCATAAAATAATCTCCCACCAAATATATGATTTCTTATTATATTTTTTTGTCAAACACTTTCATTAGAAACTACCATTCAATCGACACCTCTCAAAGTGAATCTGTACATCTAATTTTCATATATCTAAGCATGGAAAATATGTGGTTTATGCCGAAGAGGTTTCCACTCACATCAATGCGTTGAACTGTCCCTAAATTATAATTGCAGTGGCCACCACAAAACTCTAGGTCTCTATCAAATCTACGTTTTCCCATTTCTAGCTTGTTTCATTCACTCTTTAATGCAATGCAAATAAAAGGTTTAGGCCCACTATTAACAATGTTAAGCAGCCAATAATACTATGAAAGCTTTCACAGTGTCAGTTGCTAATTAACTAGAAGTAATTAGTAATAATAAAGAATAAGTATATTGTTGACAAAAAAAAAAGTATATTTTTTCTCCTCATCCTTCTTCGCCTATATAAACATTACAAGAAACTACTCACCAAAAAAAAAAAACATTACAAGAAACTACTATCCACTTATCAAATTCTCTCCTTCTTCAAGTTATAACTATTACTCACACCCAAAAACAAAAAATAGCAAACACCACTCACTTCCCTTAGTCTTCGGATCAATAGGTGTCTCAAATATTGTTTCTGTTTTATTATTGCTTGTGTTAATCAACTTAAGCAATCTTAATAGCAAAGGCATTGTATAATTATGAGGCAATAAAAAATTTGGAGATAGTAGAGATGAATTGTATATAGTAATCTGACTATTGAGATCAACGCCAGTATCCAAGATTGAAATATTAATCACATCCAAAAATGAACATTCTAAAATAAAATTAATTGATCAATATTTTTTCCTGTTTATTTTTTACCTTGAGATAATAGCTAAAAGATTAGTTTTCACCTCCAAGAGTGTAACAAATGGTAAGAAGAAGTGATTTTGATCAATATTCATCTGGAGGAACAAACTATTTATCTCACGGAAAAGTGTGTGAAGTGGACAAGTGGTTTTGTCTTCTGAAAAATCATAGACAAGAAGTTATGTCATTGGTCTTAAACTTTATTCCAAGAAGTTCGAAGTACTCACAGAATCTTAACTATATTTTGGTGGGATTCTTCTTCTTAATATTACATCTATAATATTAATTTCTTACATACACATAAGTTTAAAATTAACAATCATATATAATTAATCTTTATAAATGATGAAATCAAAATATTAGACACCAACATTATTTTATTCTTTAAAATTTATATCCGCACGGTGCGGATCAATCACCTAGTA